AATCCATATCCAATTCGCGAAACTCGTCCCATTTGTTGAACTAAAGAGGAAATTTGGGTAAATCTGAAGCCATAACGATGGGTGAAGAACAAGCTAAGAACTTGCTCAAAGAAATGATTTCGAACTTTATTACCCAAGATAAAAATTACCCCCAAGGATTAAGTTTGAAAAACCAAGCTAAATTTATTGGTTCAGTTTTTGGAAACAAATTAGATGGCGATCGTAAAGAAGAAGTGGTTAAAGAAACTCGCACGGTTTTAAATGGTTTAGTAGAAGCTAAAATCAACGAACTGGCCACTAAGGATTATGAAGAAGCTAATAAACGCTCTAAAAATCCTAACACGATTAAGAAATTAGCCGGATTATACCAACTAACTAATGCGGAAATTGATTATGCTAAAGAATTAAACAGCGAGGGTAAATTAGTCTGAACTTTACGCATGAAAACCCCGCTAAATATGAATGCTTAATAATATGAATACAAACATAACCCCAAAAGAGGTAAATTGGAGAATAGCGAAAGCCAAAGCTCATTTAGCCCAAATCGGCAATTCACAAACTTTTCGCAAAGAAATCGAATTAACCGAAAAAGAAGCAGAGAAAATCGGAATAGAAGCCTACTGGAAATTACAAGACAAATTATCTCGCGAATTAGCCAACCATCTTATTAATTATAAAGGAAGTAGTGAGGCCACCGCTTTCTGCTTAAAACTGGCCGACATTTTAAATGGCATAGAAACTCCAGAGGAAAAAAATGATACCGAATTAGAGAAAGTATTAAAGAATTCTTAAAATCTGATGCTGACATTGCTAACTCCGAAAACTTAAAAAAACTATCCGAGGAAGCCACTAACGAAGACACCATGGATGGTTATTACAACTTACTAAAAGAGTTTAGAAAGAAATATGATGAACTAGTAAAACTTAAAATCAATGAGGAAGGTGCTAACCACTTCCTAACCCAATTAACCAATATTACTTATGACCGAAAATAACCACCACTATCGCTACTGTTTTTGTTGCGAAAAATGACTAAAAAAAGAAGAAATTAACCAAGTTGACTACGGGGAACAACCCGGTCATGAGTCAGGCAAAGCCTGATATTGTAAATATTGCCGTCATGATTTAAGCGACCAATTACAAATTTTTTACTGTGATAAACACCCTGAAGAAATTCTTAAAGTCTGGGGAGTAATGGATGGCGTAAACCAAGAAAAGATTTTTTACCAAGAGTGTCCCCAAAACCAGCAAGAAAAGCAAGAACCTGAACCTACTTTTTGAAGTAAGTTGCCCATGCCTGCGGTAATTGGCTCACTAGTTGCTGTCCCCTTAGGATTACTAATTGCCTTGAAAATATGATGAAGTAAAAATAAAAAAGAGTTAGCTAAGGATAGTATTTCAAAAAAAACCCAACCAAAACCTGATAATGAACGACCAAAATAATAAGCAAAATCAAGATTTACTCAAAGTCTATGAAATGATCCAAAAAGAAAATCGTTGAAATCGGATTACTAATTTGACCCAAACCGCTCTGGTTTTGCTCCCGACTTTGCTTTTGCTCTGAAAATCCTTTAAACCCAAAAAACTTACTCCTAAGCAACGATTAATGCGGATTGAAGCGACCATGGCTCGTTTACAGTTGGAACGGGAACATGTTCGCCGAGAAGCTCTTCATGAAGCCGAATTAAAGCAGATGGAAACCGGTTTGGATATGGCCGAAAGCAAACTAGACCTTTTATCCGGCCTCAAACAAAAGGGTGAAAGCCTACTAAAAGAAAAAATTAATCAGGTCACTGACAAAGTTAGTGACAAATTAAAAGTTGATAAAGAGAAAAAAGAATAATTTTACCGCCAAAAAAACCAAGTGCAATCCGAGGGGGTTTCAAACCAATTGCACTTGGTTCCCCCTTCCCTCTGGGAAGTAAAAATACCTCCCGAGTAGGTTCCAAAACTTTAAAATAATAAATATAGGTTCGTGTAATCCAAGTGCTGTTTTAATAATCGCCACATGGTTAACGAACAAATTTTAAGCAAATTAGCCCAATTAGGGATTAAAGAAACGGAAAACGAAACTTCTTTAATTAATTCTTTATTAGATACTATTTCCCAACAAGCCACCGAAATAGAAGTTAATCAAAAACAACTGCTTAATTATCAGGTTCAGGTTCAGGGCATCAAAAGTCAGTTAGAACGAAGAAAGCCCCGTCGCTTATCCTTGGGTACCCCTCGTAGTTTCCCCTCAGCCCGTTGCTTCTTTTTCCGACCGTCCGACTCCTCGCACTCCCCGTTCGCTAAATACTCCCGCTATTTCCGAATTAGATGAGTTGGTGGAAATCGTTCACCAGCAAGAAGTAGACTTAGAAAGTAATGCTACCCAAATCATTACTGAATTACAAACTCAAGCCGAAAGCTTACGCCAGCAATTACAGGATTTAACCACCCAATTAACTCGAAAAGAAAATGATTTAATTCGTGGGGAAAATCAACGACAAACCCAACTTAATGAAACCGTTAAATTACAGGAAAAAGTTAAGAAATTAAAAACTGAATTAGAAAGTCGGGAAAATGATTTAGTAAGTGCCGAAACTGAATTAGCTCAAATTACCGAAGATTTTGACCAAGCTGAGGAAGAAAAGGAAAAAGTAAAGAAATATTATTTAGAGGCTTTATTAAAAGAAAGAAATGCGAAATTAGAATTAGAAAAACAACTGGCTTACGAGGTGCAGGAAAATCAACGATTAAAGGCTCATCAAGAGGAAATTAATACCAATCTAACTAGTTCTTGAAATCAATTAACCGAACTGCAAAGGATAACCCAGGGGGAAAGAGCAGAACTACAACGATTAATTGATGAGCAAGAAACTAAGTATCAAGAAGAGAAAACTGAGCGAGAAGTTGCTTTTCGGAAGCAGATGGATAATATGAGATTGTTTCAATTAACTGCCATCCGGGAGGTTAATCAGCCAGCAATAAGTAGGCATAAATATAACGCTAGCCTGCCAACTAGTCTTTCTAATTCTCCTCGTCATTCAGTTTGTTATGTTGATGGTGAAGAAAATTTGTCTAATAAAAAAAAACATACCTCCCAACCTCTTTATTATGATTTAGTTAAATGAAATTTCTTTAGCAAAAGTCAAGTTAACTCCCCGTCGGGGGAGAGTGGTGCTAATCCTTTTGAACAAATCGAAGAAAGGAGAAGTTCGACTTCTTCAATGGTCACTAATCATGAAAATCTGGATAAAGTTTTTGGAGAGGTTTTAGAAACTCTGACTGATTTAGAAACTGAGACTAGCAATAGTTGTAATGCCGATGAACATAAAAAATTAGTCGCTGAGTTGGTCGCCTTAGAAGCCTCCACCCAGCAATTAAATGCCGAATTATTAAGTTGAAAAGAAGGTAAAAAGAAAGACTGGGAGGATGAATTGGGACAAGTAAAATATGAATTACAAGAAGCTCAAGCTCGGGAGCGGAGCATGAAGCAAGAATTACAAAGTAAAGAGGAGCAAATTATTCTTTTTACTGAACAATTAAAAAATTTTCAAGTGGAATCAGAGGTCGAGAGACAAGGAAAAGCAAGGCAAATGTTACTTTTACAGACCCAAAATGAAAACTTACAAAATGAATTAGAAGCGGTTAAAAATGAACGAGCAGCTCAAAAATCAGCCTTTACTAATTTAGCGTCGAATGTAAAAGTATTGGAGGAAACTAATCAGCAGTTAAAAAAGGCTATGGAAAGATTAAAAAAAACTAATAAACAGTCCAGAAAATCCGATCTAAAAGAATTGAGAAATTTACTCCAGCAACCTTCTCAACTGATTAAAGAAACCATGGCCGAGTTGAAATTAGAGAATCAAATTTTAATAAATACTACAAAATAATATGGATCGAAATAATAATAATACAAGTAATAATAATAGCGAAAGCGAAGAAGAAATAGACCTTGAAGAAGAGGATGAAGCAAGTGAAAGTGAAGCCGAGGCAAATGAAAACGAAGATGAACTTAGTGACTTAAAAGAAAAAATAGCTGACTATGGTTCCAGCATCGCGACACTTCTGGCAGCGGTCAAGGAACTAAACACACAAAAACAAGCCGCCGAAAAGAAACGGGATGAACTACAAAAACGGGTTAGCAAACTGGAAAAAAAAGGAACTGATCAACAAGCCAGAGTTAAGGGCAAAATAGCCGAGGTTAAAGAAGTTTCGGAACAATTAGAGGCTCAGATAGAATTAGTGAAAATTGAACTTGGTTTAAAAAAATAAGCAACTCGGATGAATGATTGGGAAGAGATCCAAAAGTTGAAACAGGATTTGGAAAGATATGAACAAGATTTAAAGAAAATTGGCGAGGGGATAAAGCAGTTAAAAGCTGGTAATCGCCAAGCCATTCAAGCCAAAGACCAAGAAATCCAGAACTTGAAAGATAAACTTCTTGCCTGTCAACAAAAAAGAGCTAATATTCAGCAATGGGAAAACAAGGAAGAAAAAAATGAGATTGGTGAAAGATTAATGACCGCCTTGATTGGTTGTGCCAGTCAGAAAGATAAGATTATTGAGTACTTGGCTCAACCTTGTTCTTCTTGCGAGTGTAAGTCAAAAACCACAAAAGATTTAACCACGGTTAGGAACTGATTATTTGGAGTAGTATTTTTGCTATTAGCTCTACTCCTTCTATCATTGTTACCCAAGAAAAAAAAGACAATAATAATCAAAAAAAATGAAAAGTAAAAATATGGTAAAAGCCCAAGAATATATTAAAAATATTAAAAAAAGTTTCCCCAACTTTAACCAACAAAATATGAAAAAGTTGGTAATAAATGACAAAGAACTGGAAGGATATTTAGATTTAACTGATTTTGTGAATTTAGAAGAATTGGATTGTTCTAATAACTTATTAACTAACTTAAACTTAAGTCAATGCACTAAGTTAAAAAAACTGAAATGTGATTATAATCAATTAACTGAATTAGATTTAGTGGGTTTAGAAGAACTAGAAGAGATTAATTGTAGTAATAATTATCTACCGGACTTAATTTATTTTCCTTCAAATCCTAATAAATTGATTTTTTTAGACGTTAGTAATAATAATTTTCCCAAGCAAGACTTATCATTTTTTAGTCAATTCACTAGTCTAAATTATTTGGATTTTAGTAATAATAGTGAAAAAAGAATTCAAGCAAGAGTTTATAATCGTTTTTGTGGTTCTTTAGAACCTTTGCAAAATCTAAAATTAAAAAAATTAAGTATTAGTAATACTGATCTCGATGCTGGTCTAGAGTATTTGCCGGCAGATTTAAAGTTAATTCGTTGTGCGGTTGGTTCTTCTAATCAAAGTTGAGCGGTGGATACGCTTATCAAACAACTAGAAGTTTATCGACTAGGAGAAAATATTTTTGACTACTCACTTTGAAGAGAAAATTTGAAAGAGTTGTTGGCAGGTCAAGAAATTCGAGTCCTCCAAGAAGAAATAAGCAAACTAAAACAAGCAATGGAGTTAACTCGAAAGAGAAATGAAATTAAAGAATTAAGCAATAAATTACCTAAATATTATAAAGGTGTCTTGGATAGATTTTTGAAATATCAAAGGGAAGAAGACCAACAAGAACTATTAAAAGCAAGAATAATGACTGCTACTGAGATTAATAATGCTTATCTCTTACAAATTGAAGTCAATCAATTGATAGAAAATCAAGAACAAATGAAAGCAGAAATACTTTCTTTATATTAAGATAATAAAACCATATGCTAACCCTCCAAGAATATTTAAATAACAAATACCCTACTAAAGAAGCTAAGGAAGTAGTAAAAAAAATTGTTACTTGGGAAATTACCGAACCTCTGGAAGGGGGAGAATTAGATTTGCGAGAATTTAAGAACCTCGAAGCAGTAACCATTAACAACTTAACTACTCCGTTAACTAAAATTGAGGTGGATGGTCTCACTAATTTAAAGGAACTTGTTTTACCAGATAAACCTAAGGAAGAAAGCGCAGAAGATAAAAAACTTTATGCGGAGTTAGGAATTAGTGAGGATAAACAAAAACAACTGATTAAGGAAATCGAAAGATTAACTGGCTTGTTTACAACTGATAAAAAAATTAATCTAATCTATGCGACCGAAAAAACTCCCCATGAGCAATTAAAAGACCACCCGGGAACCCTCGAAAAAAAAGATGATAGTTTTGATCTTTATTTACAGTTACCACGGACAGATAAGGCAGGAAATTTTTGTCCTAACTTAGTCTTGTGAACCCTTGCTGAACAATTAACCCTAATTAATTCGAATTATGCTAATCCTCTTTTTTGAAATAATTTTGCGGAAAAATTAAACTGAGTCAAGGATAATCTAACCCAAGAATACCAAAAAGAGTTTGAATTATTACTAACTCCTGCTACTTTTCCGTATGAACTACTGGAGATAGGAGAATTATTAACCATTTATTTTCCTAAGGCAGAAGATATTCCAGATAGTCAAGTCGCAAAAGCCATTGTGAACAAGGAAATAGTGGATAAAACTTGACAAACCATCCGGCAAGAATTAATCGAATTAACTAGCCAAGAAGTAAAGAAAAATCTGGGTGAAGAAGAATTGAAGAAATTAGCCATTAAGGCAACCATTGATGGTAGTGCTGACCAGCAATACACTATTTTAGTAAACTATCATTTCCAAAATCCTGGTCAAGAAAAGATAAAAGAACTAATTACGACCACTCCTTTAAAATTAGAAATCGAGCATTTAAAGCAAAAACAGGAGCAATTACCTAGTTCCGAGAATTTTGAAAAATTAACTAAACAAAAACGAGAATTAGAAAATAGTTTACAAGATTTAACCGATGAAGATGAATTTAATAAAATTAAAGCAAAAATCAACCAAATTAAATAATTATGACCTTTAACGCCCAAGAATATATCGACAAAAACTTTACGGATAAAAGTATCACCAAAATAATTGTAAACTCTTACTATTCAGATAGCAAAGGACTATTTGGCGACTTAATTATCCAAGCTTATCCTAATTTAGAGGAAATCAGTTTACCTAATCAGGAATTAACTACTCTAACCATTATTAATTGCCCTAATTTGAAGCAACTTAATGTTCGTCAAAATAAACTGACTAAGTTAGAAATTACCCGGGCCAAAATTGACTCACAAAATGAGCCAATTGCTAATGAAATCAAAGAAATAATGGCGGGTCAAAATGAATTAACTGTCTTAGATTTAACTAATTGTCAGAAAATTAAGAAATTGATTATTCCTGATAATCCCACTTTGGCTGAAGTTAAAGGTTTAAATTTGGCGGTAATTAACGATATTAATATTACTAATGCTCAAATTTCCTTATCAGAAGAAAATGAGGAACTAAAAGCCGAAAATAAACGCTTATACCAGGCTTTAAGAAGATGAGATGATGCAGGAGTGGAAAAAGAATTAAAAATAGTTGAACCTATTCAAACTCCTAAACAAATCAAAGAAGCCATCCAAAGATTATTAAACAAAACTGAGATGAGGTGAAGAGACCATTTTGAGGGTAAAAAAATAGACGAATTGTTAGAAACTCGCCTTAATTCTCCTAAAAAAAGAGAAAAAGCCAAAAAAATCTTAATCTGAATTGTGGAATCCCAAACCAGTCGTGATTATGAAGGATTAGCCGACAAATGAAGTGGAGGGAGGCAATGGCTAACTAGTTGAGGTGATGAATATGATACTACTGATGATTATGATTGCACTTTGGATGCTTTGGTTAAACATATTCTTAATTTTAAAAACCATCAACAAAAAAAATTAGAAAACTATGAACGACAACAATAGCAACGAAATTAACAAAGAAATTACTCCTAATAAAGAACTTTTTAAGGAAATCATTAAGGAGGCTAATTTGCCCGAAGAAAAAGTTAAGGAAGAATTGCCTAACTTAGATAAAGAGTGAAAGGATGATACGATTGAGCCAGTTAAATCTGCTACCGACCAAGAAAAAATTGATGTTTATGATAAATTAGAAGTCCAACACCTCCCCGCTGATTGAAAAGTTCAATTACTTCGCTTAAAACATTTAGAAGGTCAATTATCAGATTATACTCAAATTAAAGAGGAATTAAAAGGCTGAACCGATACTTTTGGTGAAAAAAAACCTAATGGAGTAGCAGAAGAGATTAAAAATTTAGAAGAGCAAAAAACTGAAATTACGGAAGAATTAAATGGTTGAAAAGAAACTTTTACTAACCAAGACCCCCAAGAAGTAGACAAAAAATTGGTCGAATTAGGAAAAAATAATGAGTTGGCCGAACAGCAAATTAAGGAAATTGGTAAAGAATTAAATGGTTGAAAAGAAACTTGAAATAACCAAGAACTTAAAGAAGTTAAAGAGGAATGAGATTTATTAAATAAGAGACCCGAGCTCCCCATTACTGAACAGAAATTTTTTGATGATTATGCTCGCCGAAAGTCCCAAAATCAAAGTAAATTAGAAAGTGAACAATTAGCCGAGCAAGAGAAAAAAATTGAGGAATATAAAGAAAAAAACAGTAAATTGTGAGAAAAGATTGAGAAATTTCTCGAAGCAAGAAGGATTAATAATTATGTTACAGCTAGACCAGTTAAGACTATTAAACAATCCCGAGAAGCAATTGCTGAATTATTGGAAAAAACAGAAAGAGAGTTGGAGGATTATTTTAAAGGTGAAAATATGACTGATACCAACCTGGCATTAGAATTAGAAATTTACCCAAATAAAGAAGCCAAAGCCCGTCAAGTTTTAGAATGAATCAAAGAAGCCCGCAATACCTTGGACTATGAAAAGTTGTTAGAAAGGTGATGCGAAGGCAGTGAATATAACAAAGAATACAATTTTGATGGCACTCTTCATTTACTTAAAAAATATTTAGAAGTTAAAGAATTTGAGGCTCCTGAAAGTGAGTAAAATATTATTAATGAGGGAGTAGAGGCAAATATTTTAGTTTAGCAAAGTGGATTCCCAACATATTTATAAAAATTTAAACTGCTATAACAGTTTTAAAAATAAATTAGAAAGAGTAGTCAAGACCTATTATTTTGGCTTGGCTTGTAAGTTAAGAGGGGAGGGAAAATTATTAACTATTTTCTTCAGACTTATCGAGCATTTAATCAGTTATGGTAAAGTGGCAGTGGTTAGTTATGGAAAATATTTAATTCTTGCCCAAATAGTTGATGGTCATTTAACCCAAACCGGTCAATGAGCCAACTTAAAATTACTATATTTTGGTGATAAAGAAGGACAAAAATTTGCTCCTCGTGAAGGAACTTATGTAATTTTTACCTGAGGGAATGGAGAACCTTTTAGTAATTTATCTGATTTTGAACACGATATTTTAGAAATGTGGCACATAAAAGGTCTAATTGGCTGAGACCAAGATAAAAGCAAGAAAAGAATTATTGTGGAATTTGAACGAGACCCTGGCAAGGATGGTTGAAAAAATCCCTTAAATTCTTATGAAAATGGTTTTATCGGTGTTATTGCCCCGCAAAAAACCACTAATCCGATTAAAAAGTGAGATTACTTTGCTCCTCGTGCCGATGATGAACGGCAAAAATTACGGCAGGACTTAAAAGATGCTGAAAGTCGTTTCTTTTTCAATTTAGGAATGAGACATAATCCATTTGCCAAAGAGGAAAGGCAAAACAATCCCGAAGTAATGAGCGGACAAGCCTATTTTGATGCTTGAGAAATTCAAAAACAAGAAGGAATTATCCAAGGTATTTTAGATTTTCAAGGTAAAATATGAGGAGGAGGCGAATATATTTATCAATTTGGCAGTTTACCAGATCTTTTAGTAAAAAATCAAACTGTTACACCCTTGGCCTTAATCCAGGAACAAAACCGAATTAATCAATTTAACCAACCTAATCAACCCTTTTTAGAAGAAAAAAATTAATATATGCTAACATTAGAAATAAAATATACGAATGGGGAAACCCGACACATTACCAACGATTTAAATATGGAACAGTTAAAATCATTAGTGGGATATATTGAAACTGGCTTTGTGGCTTTGGCTCATTTTGAAGAAATAAAAATAACTAAAAAATAATATGATAAAAATTATCAATTGATTATCTACAAATCATCAAGAGGAAGAAATAAAAAATGCGACTGAATTACATTTATATGCTAATGATTTAGAGGGTGAAGTAAATTTAAGACAAGAAGAATTACGTAAACTAGAAAGAATATATTACAACAAGGAGATTGATATAGTGAGTGAATGAGATATTCAAATGGCTAACATTCTTAAAAAACCGCAGCCGAAAGGACTAAGAATTGACCATTACCATCACGCTGAACTTTTAAGTTATACCCCGTTAAAGGACATATTGGATGAAAAATATCCTGAAAGTGAACAGGAAGCAATTACTAAACTAAACTTATCTAAACATGGATTACGGGGTAAATTAGATTTATCCATTTTCCCTAATTTAGAGGAATTAGAAATTGAGTTAAGTTGTCCATGATATCTCAAAGGCGAGAACTCTAATTATATAACTGCTTTAAATTTAAGTGAAAACACTAAACTGAAAAAATTGACCTTAACCAATAACCCAGTAGAATTAGACCTCGATATTTTTAAAGCTCTAACTAGCCTAGAAGAATTAAACATTCCAGGCGATAATTGAGTTGGCTCATTAGAAGAATTAAAGGATTTACCCTTAACTAAATTAGATGTATCCAATAACTCAAAAATTACCGGTTGAAAACATTTACCGACAACTATTACTAATTTGAATTGCAAAGGCACTGATATGCATGAAGAGTTCAAACTTTTTGCTTTCGATGTAGAAGCTTGAAAATCAGTAAAACATCCTAAATCATTTGCTGTGAACGAGAAATTATTTTTTGAGGGAATAGCCAAAAAGTTAGCCCAATCTCATAAAACAATAAAGAAATTAAATAAAATAGGACTAACTGATGATAATTTAGAAAGTCAAATCGAAATTTTACAAGCCAAGCAACAGGAAATGCTAAATAGTAAATAATAGTGTCTTATCTCCAACAAATAGATAACAAAGAATTTGTCAAAGAATTAGTTCGTCGACATAATAAAGGCACAATTAACTTAAATTTAATTGGCTGTTGTCAAATACTTTATCTAACTCTTTTTGTAAGGGAACATCTTCAAAAAAACAAAGACTTACCATATGGTGATTGCTGTTTTACGATGATTAGTGTTTTTATTACCTCTTTATTAACTTGCTTAAAAAAAGAAAATAAACTTTGTTCAAATTGCTTAGAATGATTAGGAAAAGTTGATGGTAAAATAGAACAAGAAAAAACAAAAAAAGAACCTAACAAGTAGAAAAAAACCAATTCTAAAAATATGCCTACTAAATGCTGACTTCATGGTGAAACTGAAACCAAAGAGCGAACCAAACCTTTAAAAGAACATCCTGGCTGACCTGACAAAACTAATGATTACCAGCAAAATCTGGCTATTATTCTTACTCCTACTCCAAAAGAACAGTATCTAAAACCCTATCGCTGATATGATTTTCAAGTTTTAACCGAAGAAAGGGACTTATTATTAGAACAGAAAGAGGATATTAAAAAATTAGAGATAAAAGCAAAATCCCTATTAGATAAAGACTTATCCCCCAAAGAAATCGAACAAGAACTTAATAATCTCAAAACTTTATTTTCTAATGCTAATTTACCTAATGCTTACGATATTTTGGAAGAAGTTTGCCAACAATTATTAACAATTTATCAAATCTTTGATACTGGTGATTATGAAGGAATGCCTTCCTATTCTTCCTCCCGCTCCTCCTCTCCAACTGGGGAAGGTTGAGAAAAAATACAACAATTAAAACAAGGAATAAAATTTTGGTCTAATAAAGCAGATAATTATTTACAAAATTTACAAAGATTAGCGGCTGAAAATGATAATAAAGATTTAGAAATCAAAGAATTGAAAAGAGTTATTCGACAATTAAAAAGGGAAAGGGGAGAAGAAATCGAAAGCGAAAGTTCGTCAAGTGGTCGAACTTCTCCTTCTAGCACTGAGGATGGAAGTGATGATAATTCTGAATTAGGGGAAACTGATACTGATCGAGAAAAAGAAGCAAAAGTAAAAACTGAGCAAGAAATCGAAGAATACAAAACCCAAATCCTAACTATTTTAGATGCTTGAAAGGATAATTCTTCTGGAGTTGAAAAAGAGATGGTTCGCAAAGTTATCAAATCCTTATCTAATGATAATTTACCTCTAAATCAGCAATTTACTGAATTATCAGAATTATTAAGTAAATATCCGAATTCTAGTCTAAAACTTAATAATTTAGTGAATGCTTGGAATAAACTTAGAAAAGATGAAAAAGCCCAGCAAAAAAAGAGGCAAGAAAGGCAATCAACAAAGGAAACTAATAGAAGCGATTGATTTACTCCTAAACATTGGCTAACTGATTCGGAAATTGACTGAGCGTTAGGGGAATTAAAAAATGAATTGGAATTATTAGGTCAAGGCACTCGTTTCATGTTTTTAGAAGCTACCCAATTCATGTTTGTGAAGGAAAGTTTGGAAGCAATTGACCCCGATGCTCGTTTTAGTTTCCCCGTTTTGTTAAGTGAACTAACTAGTTTTAAAGGAGAATTAGTTTTTATTCCAGTCAATAACCCGAACTTCCATTGAAGTCTGCTAGTTTATGAAGTCCCAGCCAAAAAGTTTTATCACTTTGACACCCTAAAAGGTGCTAATTATGAGTATGTAAAACCATTAGTTATAGAATTATTAAAGCAAATTCACCAAAATAACAATATTAACCTAAATAAATACTTAATCCCTAAACATAATATTCAGCAAGGGAATACCTGAGATTGTGGAGTAGCCGTGATTGCTTTTACCGAAAGAATAATCAAACAAGGACTAAATGTTAATCTCACTGACCTTAATGAAAACTTTGGATCAGAAAGAATGAAATGGCAAAGTAAAGCAGTAATAAACGACTAAATATGAAAATAAAAGGACTAGAAAATAAAATTAAGCAAACTATTTCAACTTGAAAAGAGAAAAATGATGATTTAAAAGACAGAAAAAACTATTTAGAAACTACCTTAGATACTTTAAATAACACCATAATTTCTCTTAATAATGAACTAACTAAAAAAGAAGGGCAAATAAAACAACAGACCAAACAAATAAACCAGGCTATTGCTCTTTTAGAAGAACAAAAAAAGAAAGTCGAGGAGCAAGCCGCCCAGTTAAATAAAGAAAAAAAAGATGTCGGAACCCAAACTGACCCTTATGTTGACCAACATTTAACCGCTGATATTCAAAGATTAGAAAAAGAAAAAAGTGATTTAGATAAACAAATTAAGAAATTAGTTGATTTGGATGCAGAAAGCAAAAAATTAAGAGATAAAGAATTAACTGATTCAAGGAGAGAATTTAACAAACTATCCCAAATAAACCAACAAACTTATGATATTTTAGGGCAAGTTTCAACCGAACAAGGATTAGCCCCACGTTCCCAAAAAATTGTAGACATGTTAAAAGCCTGAACCACCCAATTCCCCAATCAAACCCCACCAGAAGTTCAAAAAAAGATTGATAATCTAACTACTGAAAGAGATAGTAGACCAACCCAACAACAATTAAATAACCTTCAACAACAATTACAAAAGTATAAAGAACAAAATTGGTGGAAATAGCCCAGTGTTGTACAAAACTGTTAATCTTCCTCTCATTAGTTATGCTTCTTTTATTCCTGACAACAACTACGGCAACTATGCTGTACTTATTGACAAGATAAGTCAACCACACAATATTACTGAAGAAACATCACACAAAAAACGTAGTGTTAAAGAATCACGCAAAATTATTAAGATTTTTTACGAATACTACAAAAATCGATAATAAGAAACTAATCAATTCAATCAAATAATATATTAGCAGTTAATTAAATTTCTCTTTCTGATAATTGGTAGGGGGTGTTTGTATTGACTAATAAATTCTAATACTTTACTGCGGGCTTCAAAATCGGCAAAAATAGTTTTTTATTGCTTAATCTCTTGGCAAATCTAAAACTTTCTTCCCGACCCTTTTTCAATTCTTAGACTTTTGTGGACAAGTATATCATTCTTCACTACTAAATACTCAGGCTGATAATCTCTCTGGTGTTTCCTCATTAGCTAAAGGCGTATAATTACAAAAATAGAAATCAGAATTAATTTCTCAAATATCTAGCAACTAATATTAAAAATTGAAGTAGAGCAATAAGAAAAGAGCCGATACTAGTTCAAATTAAAATATCCTCTTTATATTTCTGTCATCAAGTTTTTTTATTAGTGGTCGGTGGTTCTTCGTCCATTTAGTTTTTTTGTTTAAGTTTGGTAATAAATTGGCTTACTTCCTCCAATTGTTCGGTGTTGAGATGACTTGACATATTTCTTAAATATTTTCGATTATTTTAATTTTAATCTGTTTTGAAGTTCTTTTATAAATCCTCTTAATTCATTGATTTTTTTGGTTAACCTAACTATTATTACTGTTAATACTACTATGCCAATTAAGGCAGCAGAATTCAGCAAACAACCAATACAAAATCCCTCCTTGGGTTTTTCTTGGTAGATAATGGTTGGATTTTTGTTAATGTTATTAGATTTAATATTTTTTAACTTAATATCACCCACTAAAATTACTTCAACTTCTTTTTCTAAATGTAATATTAAACTATCTAATTTCACACAGTCCTTTATCGTTAATTTTGTTAGGTTTGGCAGTTCTGATATATAAATACTCTCTAATTGTTTAAAATCCTCAATAATCAGCGTATTTCCATCTACTTCACCAATTTTATCACCCTCCAAGAATATTTTTTGTCTGTCTTTTTGCCCGCTGGCATCAAAATATTCCTGTATCGTTCGCATAAATAAATAAAAGAATTATCTTTGTTCTTGTTGTGCCATTGTTTCTAATTTTCTTTCTAGTTCGTTTATTAAAAACATAAAATAATTTTTGCTAGGGTTGGCATCAGCATCATAGCAGTCTCAACAAATATCGTAACTGTTTACTACTTTTTGACTTCCTCGTGCTATTTTTTTACAACAATCCACGCACTCACCACGGCTATAACTGCCATCTTTAATCCCCCATTCATTAGTTCCTTTTCGGTCAGCTCTAATTTTTAATATGTCTTTTTCAATATCCCATCTATTTCTTGGCATGTGTTTCTTTATTTTGATTTGTTTTCATTTCCTCAACAATTTTTCTTAATTCCACTACTTCTTTATGAAATTCTTGCTTATCTTTGGTATCCCCAATAATTACTTCATCTTTACTAAAATAACCTTTTCCTTTAAAGATAATAAATAATATTAATACTATTGCTACACAAACTACCACTAATGCCAAAGTTAATTTATTTTGACATTCTCTAACGCTTTGATTAGTTTTTTCCAATTGTGCTAATAGTAATTCAATAGTCTTATTCATAGCATTTTTAGGTTAATTTTTCGGTCAATCTACTAAATTGCGGATACTGTTTTAGTTCATTTTTAACAACCCCTTGGTATTCTCCTTCTAATTGATTATAACCTTTAATAATTTGTTCCTCTAATTGTTCTATTAGTCAGTTGGCTAATTTAATCAGATTAGGTATTTGGTCTTTAATTAAGCCCTCCAAGGCTCCGATAATAAATGATACGGCTTTTTCTTTTAAAAAGTTTAGAGTCATTGCTCATCAAATTCCTTTTACTTGAAATTCTCCCTCTGTTTCATCTTTATGAAGTTCGACAATTTGTTTTAGAGCATATTCTTTCCCTTCTTGATATTCTTGTTCGACAGTTAGTTCTTTGACAATATTTGGTATTTGGTCTTTAGTTGGTTCAGACAAAGAAGTATTTCCCTGTTTAGTTAGCATTTTAAAAGCCTGTTCTCAGGTTTCTGCTTTGGCTTTTCAGATTTCACTTCTAACATGCAAGTCAAGTATTTCTTTATTTTTTGTTTCACTTATTGCTTCGTTCATATAAGTTAATTTTAAAATTTATTATAATGAAAAAAACCTTTGTTTGTTCTAATTGTAGCGCGGAAAAAGATAAAAAAGAATTGGCTAATACAGTAGAAGTTTACAATTCTGAACCGATTAAAACTTGTCGGGAATGTTACGATTGATATCATAATCCTCCCAAAGAAAAAAAGAAAGAAAGGCAATTTGTTTGTGCTTTTTGTCGTTTTGAAGTTATTAGTGTTCTTTATCGAATAAAAGTAGATGTTTCGGAACCGAATGAGTTAGGCTTAAAAAAAGGAGGAACTTATAATTTTTGCTCTTCTTGTAAGAATAAAGTCGTAGAGTATAATAGTGGTGAAGATGATGATAGCGAAGATTTAGGACCTTGAAGTTAAAAAAACCTTATGAAATTTAAGAATAATATTAAATGATATGAAAAGAGTTGTTAAAAAAAGCACTACCATAACCGAAATGATTGTTAATGATAACGGAGAAACTTTTATTATTGACCGCAAATATAATGTTGAAAATAGTTCTAAATTAATTTTCGGCGAAGAAATATCAGAAAAAGAAAAGAAGTTAGACCAAATTTATCGGCAAGAAATCGCCAAAGAGGCAGAAGAATATAAAAAGAAAAATCCCTTTCCGCAAAACGAGAAAGAATTACCAGATACTAGCAATCAAAACAAATAAAAAATGGTAGATCAGTCTAAAGAACTTTCCAGCAAAGATTTTCCTGAAAAAAGTTTAGGTTATCGTTTTCCTAGTTTTGAAGATTTTCGCAAAGAGTTAAGGTCTAGATTAGGCCCAGTCATTATCAACATTATTAAGAAAAAAGAAGAAAATGACCAAGGAGTAAAAGAAACTGATTGAGTAGAAACAAAAGCCCAAGGATTAATTTCTGGATACGGAATTTTGTGAGAATTTGTTGCTAAAAACTTCTATTTTAAATATCGAGACCGTGAATATGTGGGCGAGCAAAGAGGTTTTGTAGATGAATTTATGACTGAATTAGCCTTTGTAGTTGCCGAAATTAGAAGAAAAGAGCATGTATGAAGCAAACTTTGTTTAGATTTAGAAAAATGAACCAAAACAAATACAACTATAACTCAAAAAACTACTGGGAGTGATAAAGGTGGTAAAAATACTAGCGGAGATACTTCAAAATATCAGCCTCTATCCAAAGAATTAACTCAAAAGACTGATCAATATGGAAGCGTTTCAACTTTTGACCAAAAATCAGATACTAATATTACTACTCATAAAGGAGTTAATTATGCTCCGCTGGGTAAAATCCTTAGTGCTTTAAGTAATCTGCAAATTGATTTTTCTTCTTTTTATCCTAGATTTGAACATTTTTGAAATCATTATTCTGCTCCAACTATGGAATGAGTAATTGATAAAACTACTGGGAAAAGAAAATGGGTAACGGAAGAAGAATATGAAGAAATAATGGAGCCGGAAAAAAAGGAGGAAAGAAAAAAGAAAAAAAAAGGAGTAGATGCCCATGATATTTTGAAAGAATATTTTGATACTGGGAATTGGGCTAAATATTTAGAAGCCTTGAAAATGTATCATGAGCAAAATGAAGAAGAATATGGAAAATTACCTGATACTTCCAACCGAAAACCTCGGGTTGCTATTCGAACTAAATATGGTGAAAATTTACTTAAAGCCTATCAAAAAGAATTAAAAAGACAAGGAGAATTTAAACTAATTACTAAAGAGGAATTTTTGGCTCGAATTAGAGGAGAAAGAGAAGGGTTCACTAAAGTAGTCGGTTATGAAGAAATTATCAACTCAGTAGCCGATTATTTAGCCAGTTGACACTTTTGACAAAAATGAGGTGGGGAAAAACCTGAACAATTAATGATTGGTTTATTGGGAGATCCAGGATTGGGGAAAACTTATATTTGCCAAGCGATTGGCAAAGCCTTAGGAACTGGATATTATCGAATTTCCTTAAACGGGAAAAACTCTTCTTCAATAATCTATGGAAGTTCCATTGAAAATCCGGGGGCTGAAATGGGAGGAATTGTTAAAGCAATTAGTGAAAATAAAAGCCAATTCGCAGTATTTTTTATTGATGAGATAGAAAAAGCAGGAAAAGAAGCCAAAGATGCGATTGGTGAACCAACTGACCGGACTGGAAATAGTGAATTTAAGGATGCTTTGTATGATTTCATAACTCCTTGTAATAACTTATTATTCTTTTGTGCCTTAAATTATGCCGAAGAATTACCAGATTTTATTCGCGACCGATTTACCATGATTGAAATAAAACCTCCTTCTTATAAGCAAAGAATAGAGATTTTAAGGGCTATATTAATGAGTTCAATGAAAAAGTTTGATGAACCCTTTCAAGAGATTTATCATAAAACCTGACAAGAAGTTTATAATGTTTTTAACCAAGAAGCGTTATTAAAAAAGGCTTTAACTAAAACCATGAGTATTCGGGGAGCCAAAAGTAATATTGCTAGTTTGATTAACAGAATGCGAGTTGATTTCTTAATGTTGGAAAAAACTCTTCCTGATGATGTAATTAATTATAATTGAGGATTTCGCCCAAAAGAAGAAGATGATATTGGGGATAAAAGAAGAGGTCGCCCCGCTTGTCCTTTTGGTGAAGAAAGAGCAGAAAAGAAGAGTTCCAACTTAGAACACCGAAAAGGTTGTAAGTGCTTTTTAGGAAATTTAAAACGAGTTCCAGGATGAGAGGAGAATATGGGGAATAGTTAAAATTAACTAATTAAGCATCCTCTAAATGATGTAAAGTTCACCATTGTTTTTTACTCTCTATCAATTTTTAATGCTTCGATTTCTTCTTCCAATTCCTTAATTCTCTCTTCTAAAGTTTTTGGTATAAAAGGAGACAAAGTTCCTTGACGGATTAATTTGTCTATCTTTACTCTGCAATTATAACAACCAACCTCATTTTTATTCTTGGCTTTAAATATTGTTAAGCAATAACCACAGGCTTTTAATATTGAATTATTTTCTTTTGTTTCTACCATATTTTGTTATTTTTTCTTTCTATTCCTAATTAGAACAATAACTATTCCCACTACTGATATTATTCCTATTCCTCCCGCTATTCATGGTCAAATTTTAGTTTCATTAGGTTTTTGTTCAGAAACAGCAGAAAGTTTTTTAATTTCTTGCTCTAATTGTTGCTTATCCATTTTATTTTTCCCTGTTTTCTTCAAATAATCCTTAAATTTCTTCCACATAGTTTTTTGTTCCGGTTCCATTAGAGTAGAAGTTTCTGATAATTCTTCATCAGTAATAGTTTGTGATGGTGGAGCAGTATTAGTATTAGTATTAGTATTAGTATTAGTATTAGTATTAGTATTAAAAATTATGACTAAATTTCCGTTTTGGTTGGTGATGGAGTGGATGTTGTTGGCGATGAGGTAATTGTAAACATTTTGGATGTTGGAAAAATATTGAGCGTTGGTAGTTGGTTGAGCGGGTTGAGAATTAGTCCGATTATTCTGTTTTTTATGTTCCGATCGTGGAGTAGCATTTTCTGAACAATCATGGCATAACCAAACATCTGCTACTCATTTCTCATTTTCTTCGTTAGATATAGTTTCAATTTTCCTAGATTTGCAGTAAGAACATAGGTAGCATTTAGGACAAATTCGATAATCTTTTCCAGTTTGATTATTTTTAATGTAATATTCATTTAAATTACCTAATTTTCCTAAATCTTGATAATTATCTCCAAAATCTTGCTGACAACGATCGCATAAATCGCTCTTTGATATCGCCTTACAATCTACGCCACTAACCTCGCCATTTTCATAATTTAACCCATGTTTATCATCAATAAATCAAATATCACCCAACCCATTAGTTTTAATTGTATTATCTTTGCCACATTTGGTTGCCTTGTCTCCTTTTCGTAATTTTTCAAGGCAACTAAAAATTCTTTTTTCTATTGAAACTCCTTGTTTTTTCAAAACATTGTCATTTTTGTCATAAAAAATAACATTCTCACAAGTAGAAATTAATCAACTTTTGTCGGTATGTTGGCAACGAACTGCATTATCTCGCAATTCTTTCTTGTTTTTTTCTCAATCTTCGTAATCATTAAGAGACTGTTGGCAAGAAGAGCAAATTTTGCTCTCTCTCTCTCTCTCTCTCTCTCTCTCTGTATTTTGCTCTTTACTTTTCTTATTATCTTTATTATTCATATTTACTTATATTTATTTAATTGATATTTAGAAATTCATTGATTTTAAAATATTATCAATGTCTTGCTTTTTCAAATCAAATTCTCAAATTTTTTTATCTTCTCAAACTTTTATAATTTCAGTATTGCTATCATGGGTATAATTTCCCTCATGTCCTCCACTCATTTGATAAGTAAACTTTCTACCAGATTCTTCTTCGAGTTCTTTAATTGCTTTTACTCCAAGTTTGCAGTTTTGAAAAGTAATCAAAACCTTTTCTAACAAATATTCACATTTATTACACAAATTTCTAACGAAATATTTATCTGCTAAATCTATTTCTCAATCTTTTTTTATTGTTGACTTTCAAATATCACGAGCATTAAAGGTTGGACAATCTTTTTCTCCGCAACTTTTTATTTCTTCGATAGGTTTTGAACACCTTCTGCATTTTTTATTAATTTCTTGTTCCATAAGTATTAAATTTTTCTTTAATTTGGTGGGGATGAATTTCTTCTTTTAATTTTTCAATATTCTCTTCCATTAAATCCTGTTCATAACTTCTTTGAAAATTTAGTCAAAATCCAATACTTTGAGGAAAACGAGAACTTAATTTGGAAGCAATTTTAAAATCAATTCCTTTTCTTTCACAAATTATTTCATAAACAATCTCTTTATCTAATTCTAACTCTTGGGCTAATTCTTCCGCACTGATGTCTAGAGGGATTAATAATTCCTCTCTTAATATTTCTCCAGGATGAATTGGTTTTAGTCTTTTGTCTCTTGTCATATTATTAATATTAATGGTAATCAATTACTTTTACTTGATAAGAATGGTTATCTGAACCTCATTGGAAAATAATTCGATACTGGTCATTTACTCAAATTCGATGATAACCTTTTCATTCGCTTTCCATTTTCCGGAAACGATTACCAGGAAAATTCAAATCTTCCAACTGAGTAGCATCATTTACCATTTTTAACTTTCGATAGGCTACCTTGGCTATTTTCTGAAACTTGGCTACAAACTCTTTTTGGAATAATTGCTCGGTTTCTTTATCTCCAAATGTTTTAATCATCTTTTGCTATATTTATAATTTTGCTATACAACTGTATACAACATTAGAATATTTACTCCCCAACTGTTAGCCTAAAATTATTTAATAATGGCTAATCGCAGTGCTTATTTTAAAGAATACAACCAAAGACCAGATAGAAAAGAATACTTAAATCAAAAAGCTAAAGAAAGGCAACATTTAGTAAAAAAAGAAGAGTTAGAAATAATCAACTTTTCCTGCCCCAATTGTTCAACTACATGTGGGGTCAAATTGACTACAAAAATTTTTAAAAACAGTTAAGTTAATGAAAGCTGAGATCCAATGAAAATTTTTCAAAAATGAGGAATTAGGAAAATTCATTCGTAATAATGAAAACAATGAAAATTGACCAACTGGTAGCACTTTTGCGAAATTAGTTTTCAAAGACTGACAAGCTGAAATTGATAAACAAGTCAAAGAAAGTGAAGTGATAATAGAAAAAAACAACAAAATCCGCGAATTAATGACTAATGTTCAAAGGTGATTTATTGAAGAACATAATCTCCTTAATAAACCAGCCAAAAGAGCCTGATTACAACAAAAAGACCGGTTAAAAAGATTAGAACTAGAATTAAAAGTTCATCAGCATAATTTAGACCATCCCAAACAAGAATTAGAAGAATTTGAAAAACAATGCTTATTAAACAAAATTAGAATTTGGGAAAGAAAAATTGGTAGTTGCAAAGATGATTTAGCCAAAGCCGAAGAGGCTTATGAAAATGAAAAAAGAGAACTTTGCCAGCGTTTGGCTTATGAAAAAGAAGATATACCAGCACCTTTTCTAAGAAATCCCGAAGAAAGAATTGACCCAATTACTAGAAAATTAGTAGTTAATCACAAAGATTATTCAAAATGATGAGAAATAGGTTATGAAATTGACCCCGAAAGTAAACCTTTGGATAAATTAAGAAAGCGTATAGATGAATGATACGAACATAATGAGGGAAAAGGTACTGATTATAACCCTTATGAAATTTGAGTAGAAGAGAAAACTGATGATAGCATTACCTTTTTGTGGAAGTTGGTGGAACAGGAAGTTAGTGGGAGGAAAGGTGTTTTTCTCTCTCTTCTTAAAAATTATCTATTCAATTATTATGGCGAATGATATGAAGTTTCTGATTATTACCAAGAAAGTTATAATTCAGTGGTGATTATAGCACAAAAAAGTATTTTCTATAATTACTATTATTATTTGATTGCCAGCCAAGTTAATGGAATTCTCCATCATAGTAGCAGTCGGTTAATAGCTCGAGAAGAAATCTGTTCTTGCCCTAGTTTTGATATTGCCAATCGTTTTTTTGATTATGGAAGCACCTACAAACTAAGGCTTAAACTATATAAAATAGATAAATCTTTAGTCAATTCTCCATCAATAATCGATGAAGAGGAGCTAAAAATGGTAGCGGTTCCTAATATAAGTTTATCCAATTTAGAACAAGAGAAGGAACCTGGATTTTGAGAAACAATGTGAGATACGATGTGGGAAAGCACCATCGGAACTGTCTATTTCCTTTTGTCAGAAAGGTTACAAGAACAGGCTTGAAGTGATGTTTACTTTTATCCGCAAGAAGGCTATGAGAATAATATTGAATGGCGAGGAATTAAATCTGTTCCAGGAAAAAGTATAAAAAGCCCAGTTGGAACGAAAATAGAAGAAGATTTAAAGAAACTGGATTTAGACAAAGACGAAAATGAACATTTTTTGGAATACCATATTAAAGGCACCCTTTACTGAAGAAAAAAACAAATTTGACAAGGTCGCTATTGAATAATTCACCGAAACTTTAGAATTCAAGAGACAGTTAATCCGGCCGGAACCAGCATAAGCCTTTTTGGTTCTGATTCTGTTCTAGCAAAAGTAACTGAGAGTATTAGTATGAAAATTGGCGGTAATGCTTTTGTCAACAAATTTATCGAATGTATTGTCGATACTTCTTTAACTGATGATAAAGGTCAAAATAATCGGCAAAGTGAAAGGAGTATAATTAGCGAAACTGGAACTAAAAAAGACGGCAGCACTTACCGAAAGAATACTAACAAAACTAAACTTGCCAAACCTACTCAAGATAAAAGCCCTAGTTTTGGTTCTACTTTTCTACAACCCCATCTTTACGCCATCGATCATACTAAATGTGAATACACAATGTATCAATTTCAACATCGTTATCGGTTGAGTGGGGTTTATCCTCTTTCCCTTAGAATAGAATACAATCAAAATTTGTTGAACCAATATCGAAGTAGAAGAGCTTTAAAAGGAAAAATGACATACGATTATTTTAATTCAATGACTTTTGGAGAATTTTTAGACAGCCCCGGAATGTTGAAAGCCAGTATTATTTCGACTAATATGGGGATAAAAGAAAATTGATTTCGGGAAAAAATTGAAGCGGGAGTAAATTTGTGAAAAGATGATTATACCGAATTTTATCAAAAAGAATTGCCTCTTTCCATTAATGAAAGCAGTCGCGGTGGAACTACCACCGGAAGTTTTAATATTAAAAGTATAAAAACTAATCTCAAAAGTGCTACTGGAAAAGATGAACAAGTTGGCATAGATAATATGGTTTGAGTAGTCAAAGGAGATAGTTTTTGTAGACCAGTAATGGGCGGGGGAGATATTTTTCCTGATTTAATCACTGATAGTAATGGCCGAAGATTTCTAAAAATGGATGTGCCGCCTCATTCGGCTGGCTCCGGCTCTTGTCCTTACAAATCAGGAGGTTATTGCACTAACGAACATTTAGGAAGTTGAAGATTTGCAGCAAATGGTAATTGAAGCGGAAAAAAAGTTAAAATGCCAAAGGGAGTTCAATATGAATATAGAGTTAGGATTATGAATGGAAGAGATGGTTTTAATTTAACTGCCAAAGATGAAGAATGTTATGCTTTTATAATTCAACAAGGAGCTGTTTTTACCTTACAAACAATTGGAACTTTTGAAATAGAAAGAATTGTAGGTGATCCGCCAGGAATGCCTAACGACAACATTCTTCCAGCCACTGGAGTTGATCCAGCTCAACGCCCCACTAATCCTTTCCGAACAAATAACATAGGTGATCCTAATAGTAATTTAAGAACAGTTGGTGGTTCAGGAGAACAAGAATTTGCTGTTCCTGACATTGATAATGATTATGACCCAGATTGAGACCAAGGAATTGATATTGATACTAGTCAAGACCCCGATCCAACTCAAGATCCTGATAAACCAACCGACCCCGACTTACCACCTGATATTTCTCCTGATGATCCGCCAGATGACCCCGATTAAAGTCTCCAATTTAGATAAAGAATGAAATTTAACCAACTCATAAAAGGCATAATCAAAAGACAAGAAAAATATGCCAAGGAAAAAGAAAGAAACCAACGCTCATTCCAAAATGCTTTAAAATATCTCAATGTTAAGCATGGACGTAGCCAAACCAAGTTAGGTGATAGAATAAGTTCTATGAAAACTAAAATTAGCGAAGGGGCAAAAGACCACTCATTACTTTGTCCGCATGACCATTGTGAGTGGTGAAGAAAAGAATTTGTTTTTAAAGGTTTTAAGTCTTCTGTAAAGAATTCTGAAAGAGAAGAGGAGAATAATGATTAAAACTAAAAGTCCAGAAATTATCCTTAATTTTAGTTAAAAAATAGAAGGAAAAAGAGTGTGAAAAGGTGTGAAATTAACATAGTGAGATATTTGATTTTACTTCACTTTTAACCTTGACTAATTATACTTGAAACTAAAAAACAAGCAAAAAATCAAGGCAAAAGCATTAATTACCATCGCCCATATCCATAATAAGAAAATATTTTATTCCGATTATTTCGACTTAGAGTTGGCATAGAATGGTATAGAATTATTATCTAACACATAGACGGAAGCATTATACTTACAAAGATTATTATTCAGATTGTTCAGACCAGAATTAAAGTCTAAGCAAAAAAATCAAAATCAATCGGGAATTGTTCTTTAATTATGATGTTATTAATTTGTTCCTTTTTGCTTATTGATTTGCCATTAATTAATTTGACCTAAAATGATTTTCCGGCAATACCTTTTTCATTATACCCTTTCCGGACACATTGTTATTTTAGCCTTGTGAACTCCGTATAATAGGGGGGTTCAGAGGAGGGGTGGCACGAGTTAAAATAAGTTAATAAGTTGACAAGAAAAGTTTATCAAAGTGGCTATAGTCGTCAAGACTTTCAGGAATGAGGAAAGGAGGAAGGTCGGTCGCGTAAATGAAAGAACGAGGCAGAAAGAAAAAGATACGCCCGACTTCAAAAATCATTGGCGGAAGGGAGACCATTGCGGGGTTATCGCAGTTATAAGGAAAAAATAAGAACCACCGAAACAATTAGCCAAATTGACCCTGATAATATTAGTGGAAAATATAATTGTCCCAAATGTGGTCGTTTTCACAAAATTGATAAAAGTCGGAGTGGTTACATTGGAGAAGATTATTATCGTTTTCGCGAAGGATTAACTCACAACCAAGGAATTATTACTTGTGAAAGTTGCGGTTATCGTTATCCTTTTGTAAAAAAACGTATTCAAGAAACCGTTTGGAGAGCAGGCAACGCTAAAGAAAGGGCTGCGAGGTTAAAAAAACAAGTCGAGGAGGAGGAGGAAGATGAAGAGGAGGATGAGGAAGATTAAAAATTGCACAGAAAATAAAGCAAATAACTGTCTTTGTGAAAAATGTGTTTAGAGTTAAAAAAACCAGTAAAAAACAAGGCAAAGTTTAACAAATTTATCTAATCTGTTCTAAAAATCAATCCCGCGACCGGAAATCAGTAAAAAATAATTCATTTTCTTTAAGCATATTAACTAACATTTCAAATTCCTTGTTTTTATCTCTAATCACGCACTCTTTTAGTTTGCTTTTGGCTTTCTCTTCCAAACTAAAGCAATAATTCACTACATCTTGGTCTACTTCTTTTTTATTCTTACTAAAATGCATAAAAAAATACTTCTTATTCTTTTCCCTTTCTCCTAGTTCGCAGAAAAAAAAGTCTTGAATAGCATACTCAATTTGGTATCGCTTAATCCCGCCATTTTTAGTATAGAGGGAAATCATGTAATCATCTCAATTAACTGAAAAAGGATTAACTTTTTCTTGTAAAGACCGAGAATGAGGGTCATCCTCTCCTTCAATCAAGTTGATATACAATAATCATTCGGTTCCTTCCTCATCTTTAACTTTCTCCAATACTCCACTATTATCCTCCTTTTTGGCCTTTTCCTCAGCCAATTTCTTTAATTCAAACAAGTTCTTCGAAAAAACATCTAAAAATCAAGCACTTCAAATGTAAGGGTTGCCTAAAAAAGTTATTTTAGTTTGGAAAGGAAGTTCATTACCATCCTTGTCTTTTCTCTTTTTTAAACTGTCAATTAAGTCCTTAAAAATCCATTGCTCAGTTTTTCGGTTAACAACCAAGAATTCCCCATCAATTGGAATTGCCTCCTCATAAATTATTTCCTTGAAAGAAACTCGGGCAATTTGTCCTCGAAATCTTTGGAAACTAAACAAATCACAAAAATATATTCTTCTTTTCCCTTGATAAAATAAGCCTTTTTCGTGAAATTCAAAATCACTATATTTAATTCCTTTCTTTTGGCAAAAATTATAAGTTAAACTTTGGAAGTAAGGCTTAGAGCAATCCAAACTGTCATGCCATCTTCTCCTTATCCAAGCAAAACAAACTTCTCTATTGCTGATTATTTCTTCTAAAAATTGCCAAGCCTTAGTATCTGTTTTACCTCTTCCTCGTGCGGTTAAATAAATGTGGAATGAAGCAATTGTGTTATGTATTACTTTTCAATCAATTAAGTTTTTAATCATTAAATATTCTAATAGTCAGAATAATTTCAATCTCATTCTATTTTAAACCCTGTTTCTTTATCAGTCAAAGTCACCTCCGCCTCAGGATGATCGTCATCCACGTGGTAAGCATAGCAGGTTAAATAAGAATGGATACTTTTATCTTTTTTTATTCTTCTTTCTAATTCTTTTAATAATTCTTCATTGCTTATTTTTTTGATATCTACCATTTTATTTTCCATATTCATAATTATTTCCTTTTCAAATTCAGTAAGTTAAAAAAGCATCTAGTTCATGATCGCTTATTTTATTATTTTGGTAGGTTCAGCCTTTTCCTCGTTGATAATTAACACCACTAATTGCTTTTTTCTTGTTTAAAATTTGTTCTTTCATTTGCTGAGTTTGTTTAGCTGGAACGGTAAAGACTTTTAAATTAGGGAAGTAATAAGCAAGAGTTTCAATTGCCGCAAACAATTTAAGTAGGTTAATTATATCCTTACCCCGATTAACTGGACCAACATAATTATTTATTTCATAAACCACTATATCAATTGAGTATTCTTTTACTAAACCTAGTATTCAGTTAAAATGCTCTTTTCAGTCCTTATTTTCGCATTTTAGGAATGATATTTCGCTACTAACCAAACATATTCCAGTGGTGCCAGTTCCGGAAGGGTCAATGGCTAGTATTTTTTTTATTATATTGTTACAAAATATTTTTTTACGCGTGTATGTGTGTAAATTTGCTGGTTTTTCCCGCCGACCGACGGGGGCGAAACCGAAGTAATAGAATACTGAGGGTGAAGCCTCCAAGGGAGGCCTTCCCCTTTTATCCAGTTATCTAATTGACTTGGTTTTCCCCGTCTGGGTCGGGTGCTTCCACCCCCTTTTCATTTTGAGGCTGAGGTTGGGAAATTGGCTCGGCTGGCTCGGATCCGACTGGATAAAAGTCACAAATGTCTTTCCCAAAAATCGAATTTCGGTATTTAAAGAGCAAATTTTGGTCTAAAATGGCTAATTGCTCTACTTGGGTTCATTTTTCCTCTGACAAATTAAACTTTTTGGCATTTAAAACGATTTTGCTGGTTAATTTTATTGAATAATAGATTTGTCCGCGCCTTTTGTTCTCTAACCCGAAAGTTCTCTGAGTTATTTCAACGACTTGACCAACCATTGAAGAAATTGCTTTACTTTTAATTTCTTTTTCCTCGCCATAAAAATAAAGGATTTTTTTGGCAACGGCATCTAGGCAATTATTATCTAATTCATTTTTTGGTTTGCCCAACCGGTCAACCAATAAGTCCATAATCTCAGTTTTGGTTTAATGGTGATAACTCTACAAGTTTGAAATCACCGCAAAAATTACTTAATGGATTAGCTCAAATCAAACAAATATCTAAATCCGACCTTAAATCATTTTTAGTCCAAGACCATACTTCTTTTTCAGTTCTTAATGTCTCTTGCAAACACATTCCAAGCACTAACCGCATTAGTGTTACCCTTTCTAAAAACTCAGCCCAATCATTTTATTTAGGTCAAAAAACAAAAAAGAACTCTACTACTGCACCATCTAATTCACCACAACCCCAAGACGACTGCTTAACTGATGCCCAACACTGCACCTACTTCGCCTTCTTCAACTCCAAAGAAAAAAAGCTCTACACTCGCTTTCTTGACAAAGTAGAGGCTAATTTCGAAGGAACTGCTGCTCAGCAACCCCTTTTATTTCTCACCCTGACTTTTAATACCAAGCATGACAATTATTCGGCTTTTACCACCAATTGAAACCCCCACGACCCTGTTTGAGAACCAATTAGTAAAAAAAATAATTGACTCAAAAATTGAGCGCAAAACTTTGATGCCCAAGCCGAGCCACTCAAAGTCAAAATTGAAAAGGTCGCAAACGATGTGCAACAGCATGATATTGCTAACCTTTATTTACAAAAATTTTTAAGAAATATTCGCTTAAAGTGAAAGCCTAATAACTGAAAATGAGTAGTAGTCAGTGAACTACAAAAAAATGGCACTTGACATTTTCACTTATTAAGCACACCTATCGTCCCCTATTCCCATAAGTGTACACTCGATAAAAACTTTACCTCCTGCTGAAACTGCCGAGCTTATATCTCGCAATTATGACCTTATGGTCGTGTGGAAAGCCGTTCACCGGGTTATAAAACCATCAGCAACTACTTAGCCAAATATTTAAGCAAGTCCTTCCATTTACGTTCCTTGTATGCTCAGCATGGTCTCAAGGAAAACTGTCGCACTTACCGCTTCTTTATGAACTTGTATGACTACGACCAAAAACCGGCTCTACTAATTGGTAATCATAAATTAGATGCTCAAACCGGACAACACTTAGCTCGTAATCAGCATATTTTTCGTTACTATGACTATGAAACCAACCAAACTTCTTACTTCTACCGCACTAACGAACAACTAATCGGTCACGCTGCCCAGCCAGTCCTCATTAAAAAAAACTACCGACTAGGAACTAGATCACTTAATCCGCTAGTAAAAAGAAAGAATTAGTAGAATTATTAAAAAAACAGTCTAATACTACTAATAATACTAAACCAAGTGATAAAACTGCTCTTTATATTGGTTTAGGAATAGTTGGATTAGTTTTAATTGGTTTAGTGTTTATTTTAGTGCGAAGAAATAAAAAGAAAAGTAAATATTAAATTGCCTATGGTCAGAACGATAAGAAATACCTAACTGGAATAATTTTTATAAATCAATCACTCCGAGTTAGGTATAATTACTTAAAATCAAAGTAGTGGTTGTAAAATAAAATCTTAAACAAAAAAAAGCCAAAAAGCTACACAAATAAAAAGTTAATATGTTCAATAAATTAAAAGACAGTGCAAAGAAAATAGGAGAAAGTGCAAAAGAAGCATATGAGGACATAAAAGAAGGAGAAGACATAACAAAAGTTGGAAAAAAACTTGTTAAAGAAGTAGGCATAAAGTCGATATGATCCGCCCGACAATGACTAGAAGAGCAAGAAAAATACAACACTAAAGAAAAAAGAGAACAAATAACAGAATTGAGAGTTGCATATGGTCCCCGTGGTGGTGGTGTATTGAGTTCTATTGGATATCACACCGGCACCTCAACATTTACTGGTAAATTAGATTTAACTGATTTTGCTAATTTAGAAGAATTAGATTGTTATTATAATCAACTAACTGAATTAGACTTAACTAACTGCAAAAAATTAACTAAACTTAACTGCTATAACAACAAGATAAATAACTTAGATTTAAGTGGTTGTCCGAATTTAACTTCTCTTAAATGCGAAAATAATCAACTAACTGAATTAATCTAGATAGTCTTAATTGCTCTGAAAACCAATTAACTAACTTAAATCTCAATCAGAATCAAGAATTAACATGATTAATCATTGAAAATAATAAATTCACTAGTTTAGCTTTTGTCCAACCCCTAACTAAGTTAGAAAAACTTAATATTGACGGTAATAAGATAACTGGTTTAGAATATTTGCCTTTAAGTTTAAAAGAACTTGGATGTACTAAGGCGTTAAAAAATGAATTAACTCTTTATGGTTCTAACCTAGCTTTCTGACAAGAATCACATCCTGAACTAATGGATAAAATTGGTAAAAAACCAGTGATTAATGATTATGCTAATGCTACTTGTATAACATATATTGATTTTTTGGAAATCTTATCTGTTAAATTTCCAGAATTAACATTAGCAGGAGCACTAACTAAAGAAATAGAGCCAACTACTGATTATGATTTGCCCCATTTAAATTACAATAAATTTCTGCTTCGAGATGAGCGGCATTTTTCTTGAGAAGAAATGAAAAAGAATGATATTAATAAAGACTTGCCGACTCGTCTTTACAACATCACTAGAGGTAAAGATAAATTAGACATAAAAAGCCGAAAAAAGTTAGAAGTAGATGTGGAGTTAACCGAGGAACACCCAGAAATAAAAAGGTATGCCATTATGTCCTATATTTGAGGCAGTATTGAAAAGGGAGAAGAAAATAATTTAACTCCTTTGGGTAGGAAATCATTAACTAAAGCAATTAAGACTTGTCAGCTTTTTGACATTGATCATTTATGAATTGATCAGTTATGTGTTATTCAAGATGGGCAAGCAGGAACTACTGATAAGAGTAAGGAAATTCCAAAAATGGGAGATTATTATAATAATTCGGAGGTGACTTTAATTGCGATTAATGCTAAAATTGAGGAAGAAGGAGCAAAGAAGTGATTATCAAAAATTAATAGTGCTACTGATACTTTAATGACAGTTGATGTAGGATTAGGAGTAGGAATAAGAGAAGGAGCAAAGGGATGACTATCAAATTTTTCAAAGGATATTAAAGACAAGGAAAACGAGCCAGAATTGTTTAGACATATAATTAGAAAAATAATTAATTCGCGTTGATACAAACGTTCTTGAACCTTCCAAGAAGGATTATTAAGTAAGCAAACTATCTTTATGTTTGATGATTATTTGGTGGATGGTCGAAAATTGGCTCAATTATGAGGAGGAATTCAGCGTCAGGGTCTAAAAGCCTCTCCTACCATTTATATCACTCCTTTTGGTTGAAGTTATGGAGCTCAACCAAAACAAAAGGCTGATTTAAGTCTAGGTCAAGCTCTCCATGCGGTAGCTCATCGTAAGCGGACTATTTCTAAAGATGGCATCTATTCCATTTTAGGTTTATTGCCTTATGGGAAAAAAGTAAAGGTTGATTATAAACCAAATGAGTGTTGTAAAAAGGAAGATTGTAAATGTGAGGAAAAACAATGACCAACTTATAGTCAAGCAGAATTGGAACAAGTTTTGTTGGGAGTAATAGAAGTAGCCAAAGAATATGGTGTTGCTCATGAACCTTTAACTTGAATGGGCGAACGACGCAATGAACCCACCTTATGGTGAATACCAACTATTAAAAAAGATGGCTCTGCAGAGGGCATTACTGGTTCTACTAGAATTAAAGAAGTTGTTTCCAATAGTTTAGAGATAACTTCTGAGGGAATACAATTAATTGGTGAAAGAAATTATTCTTATTCTACTCATGAAAAGAAATATTCAATAGCAGCTAATAGCGAACTAATAAAATTTGATTTTCCATTGGAAATTTCATTATATCGTGGGCAAAAATATTCTCACAAACCAATTAACATAAGTCTTGTTGGTTCTGATTCAATCAATGAAGAAAAGTTTATATTTATTGATATGATCAATAAACAAACTATTGAAGGTAAAGAAGCAGTTCAAACTTATAAAGAACAAGTAAATAATCCTCAATTACAGCAAATTCAAGAAGAACAATGACAACAAGAACATTTAGTTGAACCAAACAAATCAACTCTCCAAGGAAAAAAAACACGTTCTTTTAATTATTTACTGTCAAATTTAAAACCTTGTGGAAAACAAATTTGGAATAATAATAAGGAAATTTATGAATATTATGAAGAAGGGCATCGTGGTATTCAGCGTGAAGAATGTAGAGGCGATTACTATGTTTTCAATAATAACATAGCACAGAGAATAGTAGAAAGTGAAAAAGGCAAAGATGATTGAACTTATCTTATTCCTGAACGACAAGCCCAAATCCAAATTGAACCTAAGTAAAAAAAAAGAGAGGGAACCCCACGTTCTCCTATCTTACCAAGCATTTAACTAATTTTAAACACTTTAAAACCCTTTCAAGCACTAAATGCTTGTTAGACAAAGTGTTTAGTGCTTGAATATTTATTAGTAAAAAACTACACTAACCTCTAAAAATCTTTCAAAAACTAAGTCCTTTATTAAGCATGAATAACTAAACAATAGTTTATTAATTTTAAAAAGTAAATAAAAATTAGTACTTGAATATTTTTTTAAAATTAATAATATAATAGTCTACTTTATTTATCCCTTATGAATACTAAGAATATCTTGTATTTGATATTTGATTGCTTAACTAAGCATGCAAAGATTAGTTAAATTGTATCAATTTTGTTTTCTAGTAGAACAGGACTAAAATGTAATATAAATGGTTTGAGAACTAAATAAGAAATTAATTTCTCAACTAACAATTAATAAGCTTCCTGCTAATCCTGGCTGTTATTTATTCAAAGACAAAAGCGGAACAATAATTTACGTTGGCAAAGCCCAAAATCTTCAAAAAAGAGTTAGTAGTTATTTTCAAAACTCCTCGGACAATTACTTTTATCAACAAATCAACAGCGTTAATACTATTATTACTAATAATGTCAAAGAAGCATTAATCTTAGAGCAAAATCTAATTAAAAAATAT